CCTAAACCCAAAACCCTAAAGTCTCATCCCTAAAGGAAACCAGCAGGTCCATGGCTCAAAGTTGAACATCCAGGGTGAATTACAGTCTTTACGCAGGGTCCAGACTGGAAGGGTTTAGAGTGTAGGGCTTTAAGCCTTAGGGTTTTTGGATTGGGGATTATAGGGCTTTAAGCCTTAGGGTTTAGGATTTGGGGATTATAGGTTTTAGGGTTCAGCGATTAGGTTTGGGGGTTAGGGCCCGGAGGCCGAGACACAGTGCAGAGGGCCTTCCATCAGTGTCCCTGAACTCTTAAAGCGGCCGCCGAAACACGTTACAGAGGGGCCTTTCCCATAAACGAGGTCCAGCATTACAACCTTGGAGGAGAGGTCATAAGAAAATAGTAACTGAGCGACAACAAATCACTCTCATTCTTTATTGGGACCCCTATCGTCTCCTTCTAGCTTCTACCTAAACCCTAAAAGTATGTAAAAAAATCGCCCTGAACCCATGATAACAGCCATAAAGGCCATTATTTTACATACTTTTGGGGTCCAGGTAGTATTTCTAAACCCTAAACCCTAGATATCCCTAATGTTCCTTGGGGCCCTTTGTTTTGACTTGAGAAACCCTCAAGTTCTCGGAGCTTACCATCCTGCAATAGTGAAGAAACAGCTTAGGGTTCAGGGGTTAGGCTTTAGGGTTTAGGGTATAGGGTTTAGGATCTGGGATGGGTGCGGCTGCTTGGTAATTGTTGGTGGGTTACGCATTCACAGGTCCGCGAACCTCTGAACTCCAAACTGCAAATCTTCTAAACCCTGAACCGTAAACTGCAGGCCCTAAAACCTTAAACACTCTAAAGCCTAAACCCTGAACCCTAAACTTCAAACCCTTGATACCCCTGAGCTAACCTTCCAGCCTAAGCTGCACGGATGTCGCTAAGGAAGTGGTAGCGGAACTGACGACGATTCGAGGCTCCCTGCTCTAAGTAGTTACGAGTAATAGTAGAAATATTAGTAACAACAATAATACGCAATAGTGATAACCTGTAGTACTAGTCATCATGGTAAGAACGATGCGCAGGAATAGTAAAAGGTACGTGCTTGGAGGTATACGTGTTGCTAGAAGTCGGGTTTAAGGTACAAAAGGTTGGACTTATGACAATGGGTATTCTACTTCCAACCCCACTGTACTTATGAGTGCACGTGAGCATCTAAGAAGGGTCAGAGTTTCAAGCGTTAGGCTTCAGCAGAAGAATCGACACCTTCATGTGGCTAGTCCTTTGGCTGTGTAGGCATTTGGGGAATGTCCAGGATGGCACAGGAGTTGTTCTTTAAACCCTCAAATCCCACGCACCCAGTCTAGAGTTTAGGGTTTAGGGTTTGTAATTTTAGGGTTTAGGGTTTAGGATTTGGGGTGGCTTGCAGGATTTAGGGTTCAGGGCTTACGGCTTATGGGTTTGCTTAGGCTTCACGGCTCCCGAAACCTGACCGTAGACCCATTAGACCCAGAACCTAAGGCCTTAACCGCACCTGTTTGAACTCCTTAAAGGGGTTATATAGGAGTAGATACAGGGGAGTACTGTAGGGGTGATTAGGGGGATATTAGGAGTTTGGACCGTGGTTCAGCTCTCTAAGGTCCCAACTTTTGGCTCACCGAAGTGAGCCCCTACTTTTCTCCTGGGCCCTTGATTGGGCTTATGTGGTTTCATTAGTTATAGAATTGGTATAAAACATTCCATGATGAAGGTCCTATAAGGTGCCTAATAGGTAGATTTTTTGGAACCCAGGATTACGGGTTTAACCCTAAACCCTTAAACCCTAAACCCCTAAACCCTAAACCCCTAAACCCTAAACCCCAAGCATTTGCTATGCGCTGAGGACACAAGCAGCACACCTGGAGTTGGACCTCATCTCAGACCTCTCGCTGCACTACACTGGGTTGCTGTTAAGGAACTCAAATTAAGTTTACCTGGACCCCAAAAGTGTGTAAAATAATGGCCTTTATGGCTGTTATTCTGGGTTTAGGGCTATTATTTTGCATACTTTTAGGGTTTAGGTAGGGGTTTTAGGCGTTTAGGGTTTAGGGTTTGGCTGTTGATTGATGAAATCTTGCACAACCTAGGGGCTCTAGACCGCTGTAATTCCTAGGACTTTAGGGACCTAAGCTGGTGCAAGATTTCCTCCATCAACAGTATGGGTACGTATTAACTGATCGGGTTTCCTTACCATAATAGTAAGCTAACTTAAGTTCCTCGACAGCAACTCAGCAAAGCCAAGTTTCCTTGGCACTTTGTAAGGAATTGAGTAATGGGCTTTTAGGACCATGGTAGTGTTGGATGTTGCAGCGACTGTTTTGTGGATCTGCTGTTCTCAAGCTCAGTACTTGGGTTTGGGATTTGGGGCTTTAAGGATTTGGGGTCAAGGGTTCAAGTCGTCAAATTATACGGAAGTTAGCGCCAGCGGCAGCACTAGCTTCGGAAAGGATGTGTTTGTTAGAAGGACGGCGGTATGAAGTGCTGGAAGGTTCATGAACAGTTCTTCCACAGCCCCCAACCTGGGTACAGCTATACATGCTCCTACTTACACACCACTAACCCTCCAAGCAGTAGGGAGAATCAGCGTGAGCATTTTCTCACAAGTCGAAGAATCCTTCCAAGGGACCTTTGTAGTTCCTGGAAAGACCCTAAGCCCAAACCCCTAGATCCGAAACCCTAACCCCGAAATCCTGAACCCTAACTCCAAAGCCCCAAGTCGCGTTTAGGGTTTAGGGTTTAGGGTTTAGGGCCTCAAGCTCAGGGCTGCCTCAGCAGTGGCCGCTTCTACTGCTCTCGGGTAGCTTCTACAGACCCCTAAGAGGGACATACTGTCTTGATCCCCAGACCCCGAACCCTGAAACCCTAAACCCCAAAACCTTAAACCCGAACCCTCAAACTCTACACCCTACCCAAACCCCAAAAGTATGTAAAATAATAGCCCTAAACCACCCAAAAATAGCCATAAAGGCCATTATTTTACATACTTTTAGGGTCCAGGTAAAGCCTGAAATGCTAAGTCCTACACCCTTCAGCTCGCCTTCTGTATTGCCAGAGCTTTTGGGGCCAAGGAAACTGTTCTCAGCGCATCCATGGCGGTGCAAGGTATGGAAGGCGCCAAGCGTTTGAGGGTCTAGGGCTAAAGTAAAGCCTTAAGGGTTCAAGGACCCAAACATTAGGGCTTTAGGTCCCAAATGCCATTCAGATTGCAGCATCTGGGCCCTGAAGCCCCGTGATTTGGGTCCTTGGACCTTCAGGGAAGAGAATCTAGGGTCTATGCTTTCTAGGCTTTAGGCTTTATACGGTTCAGTGTTGAGGGTTTCGGGCCCAGTTCGACTAGAACCGTGAAAAACCTCGAGGTAGAGCATGGAAAGTGATACAGAAATTGAGTGTATTCTGTCCAATACAGCTGTGCCGAATATCCCTATGGCTGCGCATATTATAGCCCAAGGTCGGTAACATTTGTGGATTTCAAGGCCCGATGTATAGGTATTATTTATAGACTTGGATCTTCAGGGTATGTTTACGAAAATTGCAGGGATTTGTTTCGGGCACGTGCAGCAGCATCGACTACAGGTTTAGCATGCAGGGTTTGGGCAGAACCTTCGACTTGACTAGTCTAGTGCGTTCTATACTGTATCGAAAATCCTGGATCCTCCAAGCACCCTCTATCAGGGACGAAGTACCTGTAAGTAAGGGCCAGATGTCCCCAAGAAAGGGTGCTAGGGGTGTCTTGGATTAGATACACCCGGTAGGGTACACTGGGATAGATTAGAAAATGAGTGTGCATTTCTGTTACCCTTACTCCCTAAATAGTCCTTAAAAAATTCAATTTCATCGGGCTCAAGCCTACCCCAATATAGAGGTTCAAGTAGGACGATGCGTAGACACCTGAGGGTGTGCCCTGAACCCTAAACCCTAAACCCTAAACCCTAAACCTTAAACCCTAAACCCTAAGCCCGGGTTTTCGGGCTATCCGCTGTTGCTCGTATCTTTTTGCTTTTTTTGGAACCATGGAACTCATGAAGTCAGACACATCCTGCAACCCCAATTACCTACCGCAGAGGGTCCAGGGACCCAATAATTGGGTACTTGGGTTTTGGGTAACAGGAATTATAGTACAGGATTTGGGTAAGTATATGATTATTTGGTACTTGGACCCTTAGGGTGCAGCTGTATGAGGTATACCTTAGGTGGACCCCGCACCCAGTAATAGTGAGTATAAGGGATGATGGTGATCATATTAGGGTCCTCTTATATTCTATACCAGCTCTTTAGGGATTAATTGCTACTAAGCTGTAGGCAGGGTATGACCAAGTTCTTGTCGCAAAGCCTCATGCAATAGAACGCTGGAAGGCATCTCAATCTCAAAGCTTGAATTTCAAGTTTAAGGCTTAGGTTTCAGTGCAAGTGAGCAATCTCCCCTCCCAAAACCTAACAAATGGTAAAGCTTAATCTTCGAACCCTGAAATCTAGACCGTGAAGCCCTAAACCCCAAACCCTCAACCCATCCCCAAGCTTAAGAACCCCAGTTTCAGAGTGTGGACCCTTCGCAGGGGCCCCCGCTGAACCCTAAGTCCCTAAGCCCTAAACCCTCAATCCCTAAATCCCTAAAACCCTAAACCCTCAATCCATAAATCCCTAAAGCCCTAAAACCCTAAATCCCTAACTCTCTAAACCCTCAAACCCTAAATCCCTAAACCCAAAGTCCTAAACCCATGTGAGTTATAGTCTAAACTCCTTAAAGGGGATTATATAGGGCATTAATATAGGGGAGTATTATAGGGCTTGTTAAGGGGGATACTAGGAGTTTAGATTATGATTCACTTCAGCCTGGGCAGGCCAAGGCTTCGGCCAAGTCTTCCACGAAGAGGGCGTGAAGGCAGTTTGTTCATTGGGTTTAGGGTTTTAGGGTTTGGAGATTTAAGGTTTTTAGGGTTGAGGGATTTAGGGTTTAGGGTTGAGGGATTTAGGGATTTAGGGATTTAGGGTTTAGGGTTTAGGGGGGGGCGTTTAAGGGCGTACTATAGGCATGCAAATCGCCCAATGCAGGCAGTATAAGATTAGGGGATCTAAATAATCCAAATTAAATATTAGTAGGGTTTAGGGTTTAGGGATCCAAATAACCCAACGTAGGTTACATTTACAGACTTTAGGGCCCAATGTACTTGGATCCCCAGAAGTAGGGCTTGGGGCTTCCGATCCCCAAGCCCTAAACCCTAAACCCTATAAGAGCTATAGTCTAAACTCCGTGAAGGCGGTTATATAGGGGACTATATAGGGTTCCTATTCCAGGGCTAAGCGGGATACCAGGAGTTCAGACCATAGCTCACAAGGTTTTTATCCAAATCCGGGCGGATTGGCGCGAGCCCTTGGCAATTCAATCACCAATCGTGGCGTGCTGGTAGCGGGTAGTCCTCGAGCTTCTGCGCATAGGGGTCGTCAGCTTTGTAGCAGTCGCCTTTTTTGTTTTCCGCCAGGCACCTGCATATACCCCAGTATAAGATGATCTTGCTTGTTAGCTAGGCCCCCAGAAAGGTCCCACAATTTTTGGAAGCCCCCTGAATGGGGTCTGGTCTTCGTGTTTGTGATTCATCTTATGGGTGGCATGGAATCAGAGAAGCTTGGGCACCAGAAGCGCGGAGGAATTGTGCAGGTTGCTCCGCATGTAGGGCTGATCCCAAAACTGAACCGGGCAACCTCGATAAAAGTTGAGCCTTGACACACGACCCTACAACTCTCGACTCTGAGCGTAAACTCTTAACAAGAAATCAACCTGAATACGTAGAGTACATAACCAACGTGCCTATACAAAGCGCGCTGTACTCAATGTTTTGGTTTCATTGTGCATTGTGAGGTCTAAGCTTACATTGCCTTAAGAGCTACACCCTAAACCCTAAACCCCAAACGCTACATGTGCTTCAACTCTCTTGTTCAAATAGGCCACACAGACGTGCGCATGACCCGTAAGTTAGGGCGTCGAGTTCGCTTCGGGATTTAGTTTCAGAGTTTAGGGTTTGAGGTTTGAGGTCTTTGGGGATTTTGGGTTTAGGATTTGGGCGCGGGCCTCAGGATTTAGGGTTTTGTGCAGGATTTAAGTTTTCGAATTTTATAGGAATTAGGGATTTAGGAATGAATGCCTATAGGGTTTAGGGTATGCAAACGCGCAGAGCCACATTGCCAGGTCATGAGACAGGTTTGGATGGATGTGCAGGAGTTGGAGAAGAAGGGCGTCACTGGGCCGCATCGGTTAGATTCAGATTCAGGGTGTAGATTTGGAGGAAACCTTGGGGGATACGGTGGACATTGAAATTCTTGCGTGAGCCTGACTACCTTATGCCTGAAGCATATTATGGTACACTGAGTTCACGCATGTTGCTCAATATTCAAAAGTAGCACCTAAACCCTAAAAGTATGTAAAATAGTAGTCCTAAACCCATAATACCAGCCATAAAGGCCATTATTTTACATACTTTGGGGGGTCCAGGTAAGCCCAATCCTAATCGTAATCCGGAAAGTGGCTAGAGAAGGCTGCGGACTGTCCCGCAGGGCCTATGGTTTGGCACCAGGATGCTTAAACCCTACTTCGAGCTTCATGGGACTTAGTAAGCCAAACCTGAATCCATTCGGGTTAGGGTTTAGGGTTGAGGCTTTAGGGTGTACTTGGAGGTTCATGGGATTTAGTAACTACTTATAACTGGGCTGTAATCCTACTTACAATTGGGGTAACCTACACAAGTCCAATTAAGAGGGTTATATGTAGGGTTATAAGGCTAGTTTTAAGTAGTTACTAAGTCCCATGAACCTCCGAGTAAGCCCTAGAAACCCTATGTAGACGGTGACATGTAGATAAGGAGGTCCCACTTTTTGAGTTTGCATTTGCAGCCCCTCACATGTCACAAGAGCAGCTTGAATCAGTTTCATCTGCAAATTCTTCCGATGTTTCCTAAACCTTAAACCCTAGAATAGTAAATTCTAAAAGCCCTGAACCCTGAACCCCAAGAACCTTCAAAACCCTGAACCCTAAAAGCCCTAAACCCCCCAAACCCTAAAAACTCTAAACATTAAAATTCCTAAAAACCAAAAACCCTGAAAGCCCTAAACCCTAAAACCCTAACCCGCAACTCACTAAAAACCCTAAACCGTAAAAACCTTAAACCCGAAACCCTACAATCCCTAAGCCCCCAAACCCTAAACCCTAAACCCAAAGAGCCCTAAACCCTAAAACCCTGAACTCATGGCACCCTAAAGGAGGTTGGACCCGATACTCAGGCCTTCCGCGGACGCTCCGCATGAAGCTATAAGCATGCCCTAAGGGTCCAAGGACCCAAATAAGGTCCCTTTAAAGGGGTAATAGGGGGGGTACATATGGATATATGGGGACTGTATCTGGGTATATAGGACCCAATCATAGGGTTTTAGGGCCCAAATACCAGTCATATTATAGTATTTGTGGGCCCTAAAGCCCTAGTATTTGCGACCTTGGACCCTTAGGAATGGACATGATGGTGGGGAACTTGAATTTAATGAGGATTTTGTGAGCTACTCTCAACACTAGGGTTGCCAAGGGAAAGTAAAAGTACAAATGGTGGTTCTCATAGTTTAGCATAGTCGCTAACATATTCCCTGATAAGGAAGCCATGTCCATAATCTACATGGTTGAAATTGACTGTAACTCTTGCGGGTACACAGAGGGATTCTTGCAGGGTCCTCTCCCCGACTCCCCTTAAGCACCAGACATGGGGTTTAGGGTTTAGGGTGAAGAAGAGAATAGGAATGACATGAAAACTGGGATGATGTATCGGTTTATAGGAAGTGCACGTGGATGCCTGAATCCTTGCTAATATTGTGCCCTTATAATTCTTATATAACCGGGGCATACAGTATACTTACCCCCAAACCCCAGCCTGATTATTCAGGTTCCTATAGTCCTACATTAGTGCCAATCAGGAATTAGCTGGCAAGACCATTCGCATCGGTGATCTTCAGGCCGTGCTGCAAAACCCTGCAGGTTATGCCTACTCTGGGCGTCCAGGTTAAGGGTGACTCAATTTTGGGTACTTGGACTCTTACGGCTACTCTCAGCCTATTCGGTGACAATGGCACAGCAATGTGAGCGTTTCCCCAAATCAGGGGGCCTAGGGTGTAAGGTCAAAAGTTTAGGGGACTTTAATCAAAACATTTTTTTTCCGAAATTAGGGGTCCCATTGTGGGCGTCCCTAGACTAAGGGCTATAGTCTTTTGGGGTTCTACTTTGGGTCCCCCTATGTATGGAAACTACATGAAACTACCATATCCCGGCATAGTTCATCCAGGCGTGTCGAAATCAGGATTGAGCCTTCACCCCCACATAGCCAGAACACACACCCCGATTCGGAAACCAAACTCCCCGATTCGGAAACTAAAAAATCCCCGCTGCAGATACCATTCTGTTATAAAGGTCTACCTGGACCCCAAAAGTATGTAAAATAATGACCTTTATGGCTGTTATTCTGGGTTTAGGGACTATTATTTTGCATACTTTTAGGGTTTAGGTAGGGATTACAACGACTCACCAGGGGGTAAGATTTCTCGGGCTCTGAGTTTCCGAATCAGGGTTTTTTGGTTGCCGAATCAGGGCCAGGGCTAATTTCCGAATGAGTATGAGTTTTTTTAGTTTACGAATCAAGGTTCATTTTTAGTTTCCGAAAGAAAAATTGTAGTTTCCGAAGCAAGGCTTTCAGGTTTCCGAATCGGGGATTTTAGTTTCCGAAACAGGTTTTTTAGATTCCGAATCAGTGTTCTCTAGTTTCCGAATCAGGGGTTTTAGATTCCGAGTCAGGGGTTTTTAGTTTCCGAATCAGGGGCTTTAGTTTCCGAATCAGGTTTTTAGTTTCTGAATCAGGGATTTTAGTTTCCAACTCAGGACGTGACTAGCCAGAACAAACCCCGATTCGGAAACACACATCCCCGATTTGGAAACTAAACATCCCTGCTTCAGAAACGGCACATTATGGTTCATTGTTTTTGAGTTTCGACATAAACTTCTGTTGCATACAACCCAAGCAAGTTCTGTTATGGTTTATGTACCCGCAAGTAAAGGCTCTGGAACCCCTAAACCCTAAACCCCTAAACCATAAACCCCCGAAGTCAGTGTAGACAGTGGTTTGAGTTCGGGGATCCAGATCCATAGGCTCTAAAACCTTGGCCAGGCACATTGACATGATGGTCTGTTTTTTTTTGGATTTCGGGTTTAGGGGTTTAGGGATTTAGGGGTTTAGGGTTTAGGGATTTCGGATATCCCCACGACAATCTGCAGGAATCCCGCAATAGTCCCGGCAATGAAATTGACTGAAACTTCTTCGACAGCAGCCCCCAGCTTTCTATGGGTACCTCTTAAACAGAAGGGGTCCTCCGCCGGTGGAGCCGCAAATGAAGTTCTGTTACAAGGACCACGGCCAGGTGGGTTGCAACTCGAGACATTCCAACATGAGCGCTCCCTGTACAAAGCCCAAAGCAAACCCTATACCTTGTCAAAGAATCCAACATTACACTGTGCAGCTGAACTGAAGTTCCCCAAAGGCCAAACAGCCGGGCTTTAAGCAGCAAAAGATTATCGGAGTCCCTAAACCCTAAACCCTCCACCCTAAACACCGTAGCTTAAGGAAGAGTAGGGGAGTGATTACAGGTACTACTAGCCTAAGGGTCCAAGGACCGAAAGAATAGGGTTTTAGGGCCCAAATACTATAATATTAATGGTATTTGGGCCCTAAAACCCTGTTATTTGGGTCCTTGAACACCTAGGGCTAGCAAGGGGCTATGTAGGAATATGGCATCGGGGTGTAGAGTCGCTGGAGTGAACATAAGGATGTCCTGGTAAATTTTGCAGGGAATTCGGTTTAGGGTTTAGGGTTTAGGGTGTAGGGTTTAGGGATCCGCTCCCCCCACTCTCCTTTAGGCACCGATACGCAAGAGAACCGACCGGACCTGCTAGAGAAGTCCCAAGTTCTTGAACATGTTGCGATTGAAAAATTGGTGTCACTTGAACCCGCAAGACCTTTAGTTCCAGTATCCTATCATAACTGATGAAAGATGCCGTAATCCTGAAGGCCAAGCGGGTTTCCGGGTGTGTGCACAACACATCAGCGATGCCTAGCAAAAGCAAGTGTGGAAGCACTCTTAGTCAACAACAACAGCAGCAGTCACCAACACAAAATGTGAGGCTGCAGATCCCGATAGCATGAAAAACATACTGAGCACCAATACTTCTGATCAACACCTGAACCCTGCACCTTGAACCCTTAGCTCTGAACCATAAAACCTGAACCCAGAACTCTGAAACCGTAACCCGAGCCCCTAAACCCTAAACGGTGTCCAGGAGATACAGCTGAGATGCTATAATCTTAGCAGTCCACTCATACAGGCTATAGTGCAAGCTCCTGGTATCCTGGAGGGTTTAGGGCTTAGGGGTCCTAATATTAGATATTACACGATAAGAGATCTTACATATTGAGGGGGGGGTGTAACATGAACATGAAGTGATTAGCATACAGGCATAAGATTGCAAGCGCCAAGCTCGAAAGGAGCAGCCGTGTATACAGCATACACATCTACAGATATTCCAGAGCTCTAAGCTCGAATCCCCGACTCCTCTAACGAAAGAAGCGAAAGAAAAGACCAATACGAGACAGGGATGAGGCGTTCCCTCAGACGTTACACCCTAATGACCCTCAACCCGAAGCGGGTTTCGGGTTTAGGGTTTAGTAGGGTTTAGGGTTTAGTGCCTCCACCAAGCTTTAGACCATGACTTAACAATCCCAATCCCCACCCCACCCCCCACCCCTCCCCACAAAGACTATACACACACAGAGTCCAGTAGACATCCCTGGGGCTTCTATCGCCAATATGTTTTGGTTCATATTAAGGAGCCCTCCATGGCCCTAAGTGCCTTAAACCCGTGGAGAAATGGTACTATGGTATGCTGAGGTCATGAGGGAATGTTAGTACCAAAGTAATCCAACAGCGCCCTGTGGGCAAAACCAGGTCTGTAGCTCAGTAACGCAGGTGCGAAAACCCTCTGGTATTCCGTTGCAGAGCCTTGGCGGAGGAAGGCAGTGTTATGACCAGTAATGGAGAATTGTATGAGCTGTGGTCTAAGCTCCTTCAAGGGGGTGATATTAAGGATTATACATACGGGATTACTATAGGTATAAAGGGGGATTTTAGGAGTTTAGAGACTGGCTCAGGTAACGGAGAATTGAATGGAGAAGAACATGAGTTCCTAAGATGGAAGCTGGGAGTATGTAGTGGTTTATTGGCTTTCGCATGTGGCTAGGTAAGGGCCACGCAATATCGTAGTCCCCAACCCTGAACCCTGAACCTGATAGCATGGCCACTGGTTCCTCCACCTACATTTTCCTACATGGGAATTCCGGAGACCCTGAAGGGCATGTATGGAGGATTGTGCCAAAACCCTTGCTTTGGTTTTTACGCACCCAGTTCGCGGCACCAGGGTCCAGGGCTGTTTTATATCCTATAAGGATCCAAGTCTCCTAGAAATCAGTTCTTGTGATTTGGGTCATGAGAAATTGTGGTATAGGTTTTGGGCGGTATATACATATTGAGTACTTGGATCCTTCAAAAGCTCCACCAGACGTGCACAATTTGCCCGAGCTTCTCATGCTTCCTGTTGCTCTTTTCATTTCTCTCGGCCCGTACCCCAAACCCCAAACACTAACCCTGAGAGTCCAAGCATCTAGCAATTGAGTACTTAATTGGGATTTGTGTATCAGCGGTTGTGGTACAGATTTGGAGGATGTACATGATGATCGGATACTTGGATCCTGAGGGTAAAACCAACCTTCGTAACACGATCTAGGCGTTTGACCATCAAATTTAGGATTAAGACCGCATTCTCGAAAAACACTCGGATGTTCCACTGCAGTTTGTTTTTTTTGTGGTTGCTTCGTGGCTGAGATGTCTTTGAGCCAAGCAAGTTCTACATCGGAAAGTCTCGGCGAACCCCCACTTTGCTAGACTTACATCCAGGTGGCCGGGAATGAAGGAATGGAAAACATGGAAGCTACTAGGGCAGTATATAGGGACTACTATACGGATCAATCCTTTCACTCGTTGCAAAAAGCCTAGCCCAACCTGCCCTAAACCCTAAACCGTCAACACCAAGCAAAACCCCATCCTTCTGATCGCCAAGGGTTTGGGCTAATGTGGAGGTCCTGCGGGGGAGGCCTGAAAATAACCCAATAGGAGTTGAGCACTTAGAGTTCAGAAGTTGTGTTGTTTCAGGGTTCAGGGTGTAGGGTTTAATTGGGGCTTAGGTGAAAACCTGAAACTCTAAATGAGTTATAGTCCATCCCCCTTAAAAACCCCTTTTGTAGTCCCCTATATAATTCCCTATATAACCGCCCTTTAAGGAGTTTAGATTATAGCTGAAATGGATCTGGCGGTTGATGGTGTAGGAGTTCTTAACCTCTAACTGTTAGGTTTCTGGATGTAGAGTACCTTCTTTGGGACCCCTTGATGTTCGTTTAGGCCCCAGCCCTGACCCCTACACTCCAAACCCTGAACCCTAAACCCTGAGGGTTTTGATGAAGAGATCCCAGGGACCTACTTTTAAAGGGTTACATAAAGGTTATGCGGGGCTTTCTGCAGAGGGATTTATACTACATCGCTCCAGGCGCCAGGTGCCCAAGATTTGGGTTTAGAGTTTAGGGCTTGGGGTTCAGGGTTTAGAGTTTAGGGTTTAGGTGTCAATGGCCATGTTTCAGTTCTACGCCCCAACCCCAAAGCTGGGCATGAAGCCATCGTCGCTTTTGCATGTCGCGGAGAACACGGAGTGTACTGAATTGGCTTTTCCCTGGCCTTCGTCCTGCCGTAGTGAGGGGATTTTGCGTAGCACAGACCCCCAACAAGAAGACCATATGACTGTTATGACTGTCCTCTGATTGTTGCAGGGCCCTCATTCCGAGAATGGAGTCACCACAGATTTTACACCGCTTCCCCCTGAACACAATCGATGCAACCCCCTCCCCCGGAGGTGTTCAAAGAATTCATCAACCCTAAACCCTAAACCCTAAACCGCCAGTGAATTTTCCCCTTACAACAATCGACTTTCGACTCCCCAAATCCCCGGGCTTGCAAACCCTAAGGGTCCAAGGACCCAAATAATGGGGTTTTAGGGCCCAAATACCATTAATATTACAGTATTTGGGCCCTAAAGCCCTATTATTTGGGTCCTTGGACCCTTAAGGAAATAATCGAATCCGGATTTTTTGTCAGTAGGTTGGGGTTCGTTGTAAAGGCCGAAACAGGGGCCTTCTCAATTATGTAAGTAGAGGAAATCCATCATCCTGAGCAGATTTCCCTTTCAAATCTTGTAATCAACGTTATTCGAAAGGAACTCTATCGTACCGCGCATTTACGAAACGAAGGGATTCAGTAATCTGATTCTATTTCTTTTCGATTGTTTTATTCAACTTCCTTTTGGGTCTTATTCAACAACCGCTATACCTTGAAATGAAGGACATGGGTCATGGGAATTTAGATGTCTGTCAGGTTTTACATGTAAAGACTTTCTAAAGCCATGTAAAACAACCAAGTCTTGGAAACCAACGGCATCCCTAATCCCTTTTGTCCAAAGGGTCCAAAGTACCTATATGGTACAAAGTAGGGTTTCTGTAGTAGTAATTTCCCTTATGGTTTGGGCAAGTATACCCCATATGGGTACTTAGGACCCTTTGGGTTTGATTCCTGCTTATGACCGCCTTAATGGCCGCGCCCCCCCCCCCCCCCCCCCCTCATTCGTGATTGCCCTTTCCGATTTCCGTCTTCTCCTCTTAAGGTGGTCTTCCAACACCTTAAACCCTAAACCCAAGTCTTGCATTTCGGGCTTTTCTAGGAGGAGCCGTTTTCTCAGACTAGGTAGGGACATTCCGAATGACAACTAGGGTTTGGGTTTATAACATCCGATAGCCCATTTCACAGTGGGCATAACAGAAGTCTTGCGGAGTATGCCTACCCGCAATAACGCATTCATAAGCCCCAACTACAATCCGTGTCAGTCCCTGCACAAGCCCAGTTGCCATGACTCTACACCCTCAACCCTAGACTCCACTTGCCCTAAATTACTAAACCACGGCAGCCAAAAACCCCAAATCCCAAGAGTGTGTCCAGAATGGCCATCCCGCTTCCTTTTCATTGCTTCTGGGCTGTTGTTTACCTAGTCTTGGGGAGTAGGACCCTTTAGCCCTAAATCCTATAAACCCTAAACCCTAAACCTGTGTCGACCCATGGCATGGGAGCGCAGGGGTGGGGAAAGAAGGCTCTTACTGTGCTTCAAGGCCATTCTTGGGTTTAGGCTTTAGGGTGTAGGGCTTAGGGATCAGAGTCGAGAGTTAAAGATCTCGGGATCGGGGCGCAGGGGTAAAGTTTAGGGGCAAGAGTTTAGGAATTGAGCTTGAAGTTTTGCGGTGGGAGTTTAAGGTCAACGTTTTGAGGTTTGAGTATAGTTTCACCGCTGGAGCTTAGGGTCAAAGTCCTGAGTGTGGGCCTCGGGCCTAGTGCTTCATTTGACGGGCGTGGAGTTCTGGGTTTAATTAGGAGATAAAACCAATGTTCAGGGTTTAGGACCTCGGGCTTAGGCTCTTCAGTGCGGGCTTCAAGGTTCATTTCCCTAAGCCCTATAGTTCTAGATTTACAGCTTAAGGTTTAGTTTTAACCCGAAGCCCTGAACCCCATGCTTGAAGGTTTCCTGATAATGGAGAATCAAATGGCGGTTTTCAAAATTTCGACTTCCCTTTGGAGGTCCCTACAATACATATACATATATATGCATATATACCTACACATATACATATACGTATACATATGCGGACTGGGCTATCTTGGCTATACCCTAAACCTTAAACCCTAAACCCTAAACCCTTAACCCTTAACCCTAGGGTTCCCCTATTTCTGGAAGCGTCCGAAGGTTCCGCTACCTCGTGGCAGCGTAGGGTCTCCTTTTAGATTTCAAGGTCTGATGTAGAAACCTAAACAGTGTTTAGGGTTTTAGGGTTTAGGGTTTTAGGGTTTAGAGTTTTTGGGGTTTAGGGTATAGGGTTTTGGGATTTAGGGCTTCAAACCCTAAATCCTAGATTTCACTTAAAGAGCTTTCAAGACGAAGGGCAGGGAACCAAAGGAATCACCCCCCCCACACCCAACAAGTCCAAGTACCGAAATGGGCCCATGCGTTCCTACTCAAAATTGTATTGATGCTTTGGGCCCAAATTTCTGTGCTCCTGTCAAGGAATGTCTTGTAACTTACTATAATCAGGAAACCCCATTACTTACTTAATATACCCATCATATGGTGACTTAACCGTAGCTCCTTAACCCTAACCCTTACACATTTAACCCCAAGTCTCAGACCCGAACATCTTGCACCAGCGAGTGAACATGCTGACAGGTTGACCCAGCAAATTATTCCTCAGCAATCTTCGTGCGTCCACATGTTTAGTTCCCAAAAGTAGAGCCCTATTTTGGTACCCCTAAATATAATGTACCGTAAATTAAAATGTACCCAAAAGGGGCCCATAATTTTGAGAACAACCCACATGCCTAGAAACCTAGATGCCCCCCTTTGCACTATAGCACCTGTGGAGCATGTGAGCCATAGTCTAAACTCCTAGTAGCCCCCTTAATAACCCTGTAGTAGTTAAGCGCATAATCCTTGAAGGAGTTTAGATTATGGCTCACATGGGCTAAACCTATAGCCTTGCCGGCTTGTTGACGGTTTAGAGCTTGGAGTTTATAGACTACAGGTCCAGGGGCGGAAAATTGAATGACGGTTTGGTGCAAAGGGCTTCCTGTATAGATAGAACACTGCACAGACCTATTGCCCCGAAACCCTAAACCCTAGAGGGCTTCTACGGTAGTATCAGACTGGCACACCACCCAAGGTTTAAGCCAGCTTTCATGGGTATAGGCCCCCTTAAGTAGATAGAATATGGCTTTGGGTATATTATAATAAGATCCCCATATACCCCAGATTCTATCTACTTAAGGGACACTATAGCACCAGAAGACACTGCTAATGTCGATTGCTCAACACAGCATTTTTCTGTGAATCCTTTAAAGGGACCTGTGCAAATCCCTTCACAATCCGTATCAGTTCTTTGCATGCTTCCAAGCACCCGCTTTTGTACCATCTACCAGCATTTCCCTGCAGTAAACCTACCTACGTCTGCAAGGTGACAGGAAAACCCAAACCAAAGACCCTAATCCCTACACCCATGGAGTTTCAGGGTAATTTAGTGATTATGACCCAAGCATACCTTGTGTCCTTCAACTTAAATATATTCGCATTACAGGACTTAGGGGGTTGCCCGGAATTGGGTTGTAAGTGCAGTTATACTTGGTTGGCAATTACTCTAAACCCCACATGCCTGTGTATATGCCCATATAATCCCTATGTAACCCTTTATAACCTCCATGTAGCCCCGTGAAGGGGTCATAATAACTTCCCTGATGCAGTAAATGATCTCCATATAAGCTCCACATAACCCCAGCTTCCATTCCATTTTCCATAGTCTTCTCCATTTGCGTCTAATATTCCTGAACCCTGTAGACAGGCAATATAATCCCATAGATGCGTATACACCCCCCAGATGACCCCATATCCCCTTTATAACCCCAATATAACCCTTGCATACGAATACCTAAGCCCAAAACCCAAACCTTACACCCTAAAACCGAAACCCTAGCCGCAAACATGGGGTTTCCCAAAATTAAGGGTACCCTTTTGGGATCAGAATAATGACTGTAGTATTTTGGGGTCTATATTGGGGTCCCCCTGTTTAGGGAAATTACCATACAATCTCTTACCTTGAGAAGGTGCCTTTGGAAAAGAAATCTTCCCGTCGCAGTGGTAGAGGGCGCAGCGGCAGCCAGCTCGGGCGGGGCCGCCATCATGCTGTTTTGGATTTAGGGTCTATCGAGCGCGGTGTTTAGGTTCTCGAGTTTGGGGATTTAGGGGTTTCGAATGTGGTGTCTAGAAATTTCGAGTTTGGGATTTAGGGGTAGGGTTGGGGTTTAGGGATTAGACTTTGGGGTTTGAGGTTCAGGGTGTAGAGTTGAAGGCTTACAATTTGGAATTAAGGATTGAGAGTTTGGGTTCAGGGTTTGGGGGGATGATCCTGTGTTTGTTTGCACGGATCCTAGGCCCCAAACCTGAAATCCGCAAGCCCCCAGCATAAATGAAACCCCCAGAGAGTATGTCACACTCTGACTGACTTTTAAAAATGCCTAAGAGTCTATGTGTTTGTGGGAACTCCTGCTTACCAAGGATTATTGCAGGGGGACAGAGCATGTCACTGGGACTGTGTTCAATGAAGCTAGCAGTGACATGGGAAGAGAGACTTATCATCCCCCTGTACCTGCGAGGCAGCCCCTTGTAGTGCCAACATTAGAAAATGGACAGCCCGCCGCGGTGTCCACATCAGCTGTTGGCTGTAGATTTACAGGCCTTGTCCAAGAGCTTCAGATTCAGAGCAAAGATTTTCAGTCATGTCAGGACATGTTGTGCAGACATGTTCATGTACAGTTGCCACAAGTCAATTACAAACATGTCAGTGCAGATATGTCAACTGGAGAAGGCTCAGCGCTTCAGGCATGTGGTGCAAGATTTCCTCCCTAAATCCTTGAACCCCTAAGCTACTATATGGTTTAGGTACCTCACGTGGTGTAATATGCCGGAGAGTGTGTTCATGGTTTTCTTCAGAGGGCCAAGGGAACGTTCCAAATACCGAAATATTCGGGCTTTAGGCTCCAGATGCTACAAACCGAATGCCTTTGGCACGCCCAACCTGATTATCATTTTCCCTATGGCCTAAACCGTAAACATTTGGTTGCTCAAGCCCGTGGGACTCTAAAGCCCAAAGCGCAAGCACTACATCCTCAGCCGTCAGTCGTAAATGCTGAGCCTACACCTCCAACCTTGATCAATGTTCGGGATCCTGTATACTTTATGGAGTATGGGATTCTTCATATCTATGTACCACGGAGCCTTTGTTATTCCTAGGGTATGTGGTCTAAGAAGCCCTAGACCTAAACTCAAGTCCCTAAACCCGAAACTCTATGGATCCTAGATTCTTGTCTCTTGCCTTGGCCTCCAGGGTGCTGGGCGGGTGTCTGAACCCTAAACCCCCAAGCCTAAACCCCCCTAAACCCTAAACCCCCCTAAGCCATAAACCCCTACAACATAAACCTTTAAACCCTGAACCCTTAAAACCCAAAACCCTAAACGTTTTAAAAGCTTAAGCCTTAAACCCTAAGCCTTTATACTCTAAACCTTTACGTCCCTCAACCCTAAACCGCAGAACCGTCTCCCTGAAGGCTCACCGGTCCATCCAAAACGCAGCGAAAGCGTCAACCAGACCCCCGGCTGCCTTCTAAGCCTTAATCTAGGACATGGTTAAAAGGTGTAGGGTTTAGGGTAGTTTAAGATTCATGGGACATAGTCACTACTCATAACTGGGCCGCTTTAAAAGGGTTATGGTTGCATAACAGTGTCTAGGGTTATGGGGTTCATGGGACTTGGAAACTAGCTAGAACTGGACCAGTTTAAAGGGGTTATAGGGATATGTAGGGTTTAGGGTTTAGAGTTCGTGGGAGCGAACAGGTACTTCTAGAAGCCTACTCATTATTGCGGCAACTGCCATAAGTTTACTTAGGAGGGTTTTCAGTAGCGTTGTAGGTTGTAGGCCCAATTTTATAAGTTACAAGTGGTTCTTGGCTAAGTCACATGAACCTTGAAGGAGAGGGATCCGGGGTCCACAAAAAACTGTCCTTTGTTTAGGAGTTCCTGTCCAAAGGGTTATAGTATGGGGTTCTAAATAAGGGCCCCTCCTATTTGTGGAAATTACCAGGCGAGTAGCCTAAATTGAATCAAACTCTTAAAAACTTTATGGGTGTTGTCAACAGACTTGCAATCCCCAGATTTCGATTTGGGATTCAGGGGTTCTGGGTTTGGAGATTAAGGTTACGCATTTCTTTTGTGGGCATTAGGGATTCTGGTTTAGGGTATTTGATTTTGGACTTGCTTATGGTTTTAAAGTCCTCAAGCATTGGATGGGGTTTAAGGTTTATGTGGTTTAAGGTTTATGGTTTAGGTGGTTTAGGGTTTAGGGTTTAGGATTAGGGGCTCTAGGGCTTATGCTGGCATTCAACATCGGGAGGGGTGTGCTCGGTCCGAATACGCGATATTGAAGGGTAGGATTCAGACAGGCGTGTACCTGTTGTAGGTAGGGTACAGGTTTGCGGTTTGTGGTTGCACGCTCTACCAAACTGACCTTGAACCCTGCATGGCCCCTTTTCACAAGGAAAAACATTGCTACGCATTTTTGGGGTTCCGTGTCAGCTTGGGAGAGCGTACCCAGAACCTCCTACGTAGTTAGTTCCTTTCTTGGCATAGTACATTATAATCCCTATAAGCCCTAACCCACCAAAAAACACAACTAACCCAAAAATGAACTGCATGGCAGCCCTGGGGTAGAGGTTTAGGGTTCAGGAGGCTTTGAGCTTGCAGAGACGCGATTTCCACCTCTGCGCAGCCTGTAGGGTTTGGGGTCCCCAAGCCCTAAGCCCTAAACCCTAGGTCCTAAACCCAGAAGGCAGCTCCACTTGCAAAGTATGCGGTGAGGTGCTAGACCCACTTCAGCGCCAGGGTAGCAGTATCCTTCGGGCTCCACATTCATAAAGAATGCCTATGTGGGGCCCCAAAGTCTATGAACGTCACCTACATTCGGCTGTTTGGAGCCCTGGGGTATGTAATTTTGTAAGCTCACGCCCCAAGCCAATTGCTTCAATTCCGGACGCCGGGAAAATTATGGTTTCACGGGAATCAAGCTACCTGTCTTGACAGTACATGTTGATGCATGGTTAAGCCCCCAAAATTCAGGAGTCGAAATCCTCAACCCGATGCACCCTTCTATAAGCCATTGTCTAAACTCCTAAAAGCCCCCCTAATCACCCCTACAATACTGTCCTATAGAATTCCCTATAAATCCCCTTTAAGGAATTTAGACCATAGCACATGTAACCATAGTCTAGATTCCTAATATCCCCCTTAATGATCCTAATATTTAACTCCCTATAGAACCCCTCTTTAAGGAGTTTAGACGATATCACATATAACTAAACCTCTTAAACTGGAAGTTCTGAACTTTGAGCCCTTCATGGGTTTAGGGTTTACGGAACCCTCCTGAGTAGCTTCCAGCGAAGGAGATTGTCTCTGTGTGACCTGCATGTTCCGTGATCGAGGCGTATACGCACCCTTCAGAGGGTTTCGGGCTTAGGGTTTATGACTCGAATAACCTTCAGTTTTCTAAGTTCATGTGAAAATGTATATTATGGCATCCTACGCTGAACATCTTTTCGGCTTAAGGTAGGGTTCAGGCTTGGAGTCTGCAAGGCTTGGGGCTCAGGGTTGACAGCTGAAGGCTCTGGAACTCAAAGTTTAGCATAGGGAGTGTATGAAGCCCGAATGAGAACCCCTATACAGTTGAGAGTTCAAGCGTCAGCTTTAAACTTTAGGGTTTTGGACCTCGGGTTCTTTCATTGATTTGGCTTGAGAGCTTGGAGCTATGTAGAGTTTAGGTTCGAGTGGCTAGGGGTTGAGCATTGGCTGATTCGGTCTTTGTTCATGTGTGTTTCCTCTTCATGACCCTCATAAGCCCTAGATCCGAAACCTTAGTCCCAACGCAGTGTATTTCCTGAGTCAGAGCCCTGAACCTTAAACTTCAAACCCGTAATTAACCTTAAGCCCTAAACCCCAGACCTCAACTCCCGTAAAATCCCTATCCCCAAGGGTTTCAAGGGCAGCGAGCAAGGGTCTGCATGGGCTAGAAGGCATGGACATTTGATTCCGGCACGGGTTTTGGGTTTTGGGTTTTGGGGGGTTTAGGGTTGAGGGTTCGAAGTTTTTGTGGCGATTCCCGTAAGGGTCCCACTGCCCCAACAACATAATCCCCACCATCCCATCCCGTAGTACGAAGCACCCGCGCAAACTAATAATAGCACTCTAGTATATAATGTAAGATCGTATATAATTAATCTACTGTACTGGGAGCATTGAGTACTAGAAGGGTGTGGGTTTTCATATTAGGGGAGTGAATTCGAAAAAAATGCTTGGCCCGAAGTATCTACAAATGAGCCCACTTGGGCAACTTACGTACTATTTGCTTTTTGGACCCTCTGGAGGTTATGCTTCTGCCAACCACAGGGAATGCTTAAAGCTCGGAAGGGGAGTCTTGAAGGAGCCGTCAGTCAAGGGTTAGGGCTAAGCCCTGCAGCCCAAGCCGCTTGGGGTTCAGGGTTAGGGCTCTGGGTTCACAGATTCTGAAGGCAGAATATGGTAGCTTCTCAAAATAGGGGGAACCCCAACCTAGACCCCAAGATACTCGAGTTCTTACTATAGGGACGCCTAAAATGGTACCCCTGATTTTGGGGAAGCCCCCGCATATGGCTGGGTAGCCTACCCGCAGAAGTGAGAAGACAATCAAGGATGACGGCCAAGACCAAGCGCGCCCCCTAAACCCAAAACCCATAACAAGATCCCCAGATACCCCCTCTTTTGGGTACTGCCCCCCCTCAGTAACATTTGGATAATAAATAAAAATATGGTTCTACATAGCCCTTAAGAGGACCCTTAATATAGACTGTTACTGGGGGGGGGCAGTACCCAACCCATCTTCTATCTACTTAAGGGGGACTGAAGTGGCAGAGCGAGTTGGGAACCACCTCCCTCCTTGTCAACTGAAGGCTGTAAGAGGCATCAGCATGGCTTTGAAGAGTCTATAGTCCCCTTACGTAGATAGAATATGGGGTTTAGGGTTTAGGGGTATAGTCCCAGCAGATAGAATGTGGCTTTGGGTATATTCTAATAAGATCCCCATATACCTAAGGGGGACTCTATACAAGCATGGTTTCCTGTGAGCTTAGTAGATGAGTGGGTAACCTTCAACTTTTCGCGGTAGAGATAGAAGGCACAATCAAGAAGTTTGGAAAGCTCTGAATTACCGGGTGGGGTCTACGGGGAGTAGGTGCTGCGGAGTCTTAGCGGGAGTACAACGGTGGATACTAAAATCTTGCCTGACCCTAAATACCATCTACTTATGGAATTATGGTACTATAGTACATTTAGGTCATGCAGGGTTTTTGGTATCAACAGTTGGGAGGATAAGGAGGTCTTCTGAATGACTTGGTATCTACCCCCCTTGAAAATTGACCGACCCGGTTCAGGGATTAGGGTTTAGGGAGTAGGGTTTAGGGTTTAAGGACCCACTTGGGACCTGGAAAGGAAGCCCCCTGGCATATCCAATCTTGGAACAGGCGTGGTCGTGCGAGCCGCCACACAAGAGTGCGATGTGATGGGATCCTTCTTTGCGATCCTTGGAGACCCAGAAAGCTGGGAATCCCCTAAACATGACAGGCGTGAGGGTTTAGGGTTTAACGCTGAGTCACAAACATCCTCATGCTGTCCTTTTGTCGAGCGTACCTGAGGTTCCTTCGCAGTTTTGTTAGTGTATGTATTTGGTGTCCAGTTTGGAGACCATAAAGTTTAAGGCTGGCAACACAATCCCACCATGAACCCATTGTAGGCTTTTGTTACAAGGTCCTGCTTAGCCATTGAAATTAACCATATGTTTGGAACCCGAAGGTAATGCCTGCCCAACGCCAGAGATTGGGTTTCCTGCAGTGCTCAGGGTCTAGGACTTCGGTTTAGGGTTATTCTTGGTGACCTCTTCTTCGGGATATAACATACTCCGCCTAAAGTTCCCACTGTGGTTGTAGTTCAAGAGGACAATGAGGCTTGGAGATTTAGGGGTTCAGTCTCTAGTAATCAGTACGCACCACCCCCAACAAATCCCTTTCTATCATCAAACGACCCCTTTTTAAACTAGCATCGTCATCAGTCTCTAGTAATCATTATATACCAACCCCCCCAAAAATCCTTCACTTTCTATCATCAAATGACACCTTTTTAACCTAGCATTGTCATACCATACTGGGAGTGTTTAACAGCCGAGGCTTGGAGGGTGGTTATAGGAGGAAGAGATTGCGATGTAGTCACGCCCTGGATGAGGATTCTAGCGTTAAAGGACCTAACAATTCGCGTGACGGTTTTACAAAATTAGTGGTACCGTTTTGGGGGTCCTATAATAAGGATTATAGTTTTTGGGGGGTCTACATTGGGATCCCCTTATTTTGGGAAACTACCATGTAGCCGTATTCTAGCATTATGTACCCCAAGCCCCATTCAAGTTATTCAGGTCCTACATTATTCAGCTAGCTCGGAATTTAGGCTTGAGGTTTTGCTGTTGAGGGTTCCTCGCCTACATTTACATTGTTAAAAGGTTGACCTGTGAAAAAGAAGGTTTACGCTTCTCCAGAGTGATCCAGAACCCCAAGCCCTAGTAATGCGCATATCAACATGGCAGTTTCTCAAAATTAGGGTTACCTTTTTGAGGGGGTCCCCATAATATGTATTATAGTACCTTGGGGTCTATATTGGGGGTCCACTAATTATGGGAAATTACCATATCTAAGATATCCGCTAGAGCCCCTTGAACGGCTTACTCACCTTACCTCTATAGTCCATTTGATGGGACCCCCCAGTGAGTTAAAACAAACTATGCTATTGTTCCCTGTGGCCAGGTCCTCCCGTCCTTTCCGGCTCCACCATAGAGCTTCAAAAAGCCCGAAGCAGGTACAAATCGGGTCCAGGAGAGTATTGCTTGCAAATGTTTTGTGGCCAAGTAGGCATTGTTTGAGCATCAGGGCACCACTGCAAGCCCTAAACCCCAAACTTTAGGTCTTAGGGTTTAGGGTTCTTCACTGTTCTAGTGCTTAGGGAGGGAAAACACCCCTTGGAAAACTTCAGGGCAAACCCTTATTGGGAGGTCTCATGGTGGACGCCCAAAGCCAATTCTGCACCTAGGATTGAACACCTGCCTGCACCACGTGAGAGGCTGAAGCTATTGTAGGCTGTAGCATTGAGCTTGTATGAGGCCTAAAGCCTAAACCCAGGTTGTATGAAGCCCTTTGTCAGGTTCCTCTCTGTGCCTCAGTCGGGTCGTTCGATCGAGACGTGCAATCAGATAGTAAAACAGAGGCGCAGGAGAGAGCAGGTGTTGCGTAATTGTGCAACTCGGTTTAGGGTTTAGGGTTTAGGGTTTAACTCAACTAACCCTAGACCCTAACCCCTAAAAAAAGCAAACCTGCGGTGTGGCTGGGCCACCGATTGCGGAGGATCGTGTAGCCCAGGAGTAGGCCATCAAGCCCACAAATTGTTTGTAGGCAGTTTAGGGCTAGGTCTAGGGTTTAGGCTTTATTTTGTACGGGTCCTAAACCCCTACACCCTAAACTGCGTGGTTAGGGTTAGGCCTTTGGAACGCACATCCAGAGCCGTTCATGTAGCTGGGTCATCGAAGTTTGACCTCAAAGGGTGGCGTAGGGCTTAACTTAAGAGCCTCCGGCTCAGTCCGCCGACCCAGAGGCGGAGAAAGCACGAAGGCCTAAACGCGAAACCTTGAGGGTTTTCAGCGGCTGGCACGAGACCAATAGATAGGCGCAACAAGACTAGTCCAAGCTAGGCTGCCGGGACTCAGCAGCTTTGCTGTTTTCAGTTGCTGCGTAGGAAATCAATC